GCCCCCCCCCCCCCCCCCCCCATCCGGGCTATCCGGCCACACGCGAATGCTTCCAACCTAGCATTCACCTACAACTCATTCTCGTCAAAAGTGGGCACAGTGCTGTAGCAGTTTTCTTCCTTACAAGCCAGCCCCGCAAGGATCCACGACCGTGACGAATACCAAAGACTATCTGCCCCAGGGTGATCGACCTTAGAGTTGAACATCTTTATTGGTTTTCCTCTGTTCTTTTCTCCAATGGCATTATTAGCGATCACTCATCACCTGGACATATTTTAATCATACACTTTCTCTCAGTCTAATACAAAACACTATTCGGTATGCGCGGACCATTCTATCAATCTGAACTCCACGCCCCCTTGCACTGCAAACACAAGACTGGGACATGGACGCCATGTGCACCCTTCACTCAAACTGTTGGTCCCCACAACAGGCTGCTAGCCTCCTACAGGTACCCTCGTTGATAACCCTACGCTCTCGACATGTACCTCGGCTTGTGGAACAGGGTATCACGGACTGGTAGGATGCAGGGGTCCATGTTCCAGTTGTTACACGGAGCAGCTATGACCGAGGACAAGGCGCCTCTATCACTGCGAACAGGCAGCCTTGTCGCGGAAACTAGTATGACGGGCGGGATGAACGGGATAGACCGTCAAAAATAAAGCAATCTAAACTCAGGTATCTGCCTTACTGAAGATCATCATGTGATGCATACGTGACGCGTTCGTAACGTAAACGTCGCCGTTCAGACCATACTGTATCCGATAGGAGCGGTACGAACAGAATCAGAAGACCTTGCAACAAAGCATTTTGTTTAATTTCCCCCAGACCTTAGCATCGCAACCACGACAACAATCGTTGTTGACAACAGTAATATGTCCCATGCCTCGAAATATTTCCCGCAGAACTGGCCCCCACGTTGCACTTTGCCAAAACTCGGCTTATAAGATCGCCGGATAAATTCTCCATCCATCGGGCGATCGCCTACTGCAAGCACTCTGATCCTAAACATTATAAACGGTGTAATGGTAATTGCGTGGCATCGAACCATTATGCATGTGCAAGCAGGGATGGCGTAACGCGCGTTGCCCGATGCTGGGCTAGCGACTTGACAATCTCGCACACATGATTACTGATGGTCGCTCTATACGACTTTTGCTTTTTCCCATGGAAAGGAAGGAGGGGAATGTAGCATGGAGGGGTAGTAAGACGGGAAGAGAGCGAGGCTGGAGGCTTGCAAGATCAAGATTGTGAGTGAGGCTAACGGAGATGATCATGTTTACGATTTCGGGGGCGGAAGCGGCGGGGCACATGCGAGATACGCGGTTCGCTTCACCTAAAAGCAGTAAGGGTACGTAATATCGATCAAGTTTTTTCTTTGTTGTGTGATGTACAGCATCTACAGGGAAGAGGGATGTGGCAGCACAATAACCTATTCGTCCACCGTCTTTCCTGTATACTCTTCCCCACCACCCGGGAGGGCAGGTGCGGTTCGTTGAATCGAATAAGAACTGCATTGGCAGCATCTTCGAACGGCTGTTCGCAGGATCGCGGGTGGTAGTTCGATAGTCTTGGTTTTTTCCTTGCGAGTCAGGTGTGCAGCAAGGAACAACGCTCCACACTATAGCGGAACGGCCGTTATAGGGCCGAGCGAGGTCGCACATATGCGAGTATACTCACACCGCTCGAGACATGCCTTAACCTTCAGTCTGTTTCGCCCGTCATGAGTGAAGCTTGCTGCTTATGCCGAGTGAGTGCGAACTTTTACAATTGCCGACTGGTGTTGGTGTCATGTCCCACTGCAGCAAGCTATGTCGTCTCCAACTTCTTCCGCAGAGTGTTCATCAGCAAAGTATCATCGCATGGAGCCTGAACCCGCGGCGTAAGCCAAGCAGTAGCACAACAGGACGGGTTGAAGAGCTGCGTGATCGAAAACCGGCAGCAGCCTCTAGATTTGGCTTTTTGTCCCGCAGTGCAGCTGACGTTGATCCAAGCGTGAAATTCAAGACACGGCATCGTGCTTGGACAGTACAATGAAGTTCGTCAACAGTCGTACAGTTGCGAGGGGAAAGCTACATGAGCTACCCCGCTCTGTGCCATGTCGGCTTGAACTGGACTTGGCTATGTGTTCGATGATTCTGAGTAGATGTGTCGTGGTTTTCGCAATAGAATAGCAGGTCCGTCGGATACGAAGGCTAGCCTTGATGGTCTGGGACGGGTGTTTTCGGAACTTGCCGGCTGGGAAATGTGGGCGGCGGTATCGAGACCGAGGTCTCTTAAGTGATATTGACCAGGCTTCGGGCCCTTCGCCGTGTTGTGAGATACGTACTAGGCGAAGAAGAGACTAGGTGCGTGCACACACTACACATCGAGGTTCAGTGCAATGGTGATGCCAAGAAACTCGTTACAAGTACGCGCAGCATCTGTTCCGACTACGCCGCAGGAGCCATCTTGTCGTGGAGAAGCCAAGTTCACGTCGTAGCCTCTGTATGCAGTTCCATCGTCGTTGGTTTCAGGATTCGTCGGCAGCATCGATTCCATCTGAATCAGAACCTGAAGTGGCGTCTGTGCCTTCATTCATCTCCACGTCCCCATTGGTGTGGTTGCGGTTTCCGCCGTTAGTGAGTCTCTTTTTCGCTCGTGCTTTGGCACGCTCTGCCCTCTTCTTTTCCTGGCTTATAAAATAGTCCTTCTCTTCCCGCAGCTCTGAAAGTTGTGAGAAAGTAACCTTTTGGATGCGTTGTAAGCTCGCAAGCTGCTTCTTCAGTTCCTTGACCTCGGTCTGCTGAGCCTTGCCCGAAGCATCAGACGCGTTCATGCTACCATCATCTAGTGCCATAAAGTCAGCCGTTGGGGCAGCACCACCCTTTGGCTGAGTAGTCCATGAGTCTAGCTCAGCTAAGCTCTCTTCCAGCATGCCGGCGGGGAAACTTGGGTGTACAAGGGCCTCTTCAAATGCACTTCTTCCCACAAGTCTCTTCTCAGTAGCAGAAACGTGGGGACTGCGCAACCGACCGTTTAGCTGGAGGTTTAGAGTATAATTTGACGGAACCAGGCCATTTGCGCTGCTCGTGAGTCCTGCATCTTGCTTTGGCTTGACGATTGTTGGAATCTTGAAGGTGGGTTCCGCTGTGTTAGGGAAGCCAGTAGGTGGGAGAAATCGAAGGTTTGAAACGGGACCAGGAAGATTGGCGGGAGTAGAAAGATAGTTTGCCTTTGCGACATCCCAAAGTGCTACCTTGCCGCTGGCATGGCCCGAGATGAGGGAAGTACCATCCCAGCTAAGAGTCAGAGCGAGGGCTCCGCCGAGCTTCTGCGACTCTGCACTGAAGCGGCTCTTGGGTGATGGTTGTATCGGTCGATGAGACGAGGCGCTATCCCGAAGGACGTCTATCGAAGTAGTCTTCTGCACTTCGTCGTAGAAGTCAATGGTTTGCAAGCTGCCATCGGCATAAGCTACGTAAAATGCGCGGTCTGCGGGATCGAGAGTGACAGCAGTAGGTATCTCGGGCAGCAGATAGGTCCTCAATGCTTGTCCGTTGTGGTAGTCCCAAACTATGGCAGACTTGTCCTCTGATATTGATACGGCAATGTTGGCAGTGCTCGAGCTGTGGCCGCAGGCAATGGAGGATATGGGCCCGCGGTGGGTAGAGAGGGTGTGTATAGGCGAGCGCGAGGCATCGGGGGAGAAGGATAGTATGGCGGGAAGTGCCCATACGTGGATCATAGCATCGGAGGAGCCGGAGAGGAAGAAGTTGGAGGATGGGTCGACTACGATGCTCGTGACTGGCTGGAGATGCGAAGTGGATGTAGAGACGAGACGGCCTGAGCAGACCTGAGGCATGTATTAGAAAAGCTGGGGACTATCAAGGCTGTTCCAGACGCGTGACTAACCTCCCAAGCCAATATCCGCCCACTCTCGGTTCCAAGCAGTAGCACGCTGTCCTGCGCTGCGAGTGCGATGCTGTGAATTCTCTCTGGGAAGGGCACCAGGGCTTCCTGGTTGCCCCTCTCCCTGCTATACACATGTACAATTGCCTTGTCCGACTGCGCAGCGAAGACGTGTGAGGCGCTCACAGCTATGCCGTTTGGCGCACTCGCGCTCTTCTTGAAAGCATGTCTCTGGGCGACAAGTGGCTGGAACTCATGTATAAAAATGCCCGCGTCTTTTGTGACTCCCGTGTTGGGCTTTGTCGATGCCGAGATGGCGGCGACGAATTGTTCGGTGAGCATGGCCGGTCGTATCTGGAGATGTCGTTGTCGCAAGTTGAAAGTTGCAAGCTCTAGAAACTTTTTGGTGGAGCATCTGCAGCCTGAGGGTCTGTGCAGCTAGCCGCGGAACTTGTCACTCCAGACACCGCTGCCCCCCCTTCCTGCCCCTCGATATGGCGACAATCTTGCTGAACATCACCTTTTGTCGTGGTACTATAACGAAGTTCATGTTCAGACCATATCTTGGCCCGGCTTACAACTTGGCATATGCTTCTTAATTTCTGACTTAGTCCGGGCGTATGTGCTGACGCCTTGCATTTACGAGGCCTGTTCGCTACTGCAGGGCAACGAGCACCTCCTAAAGCCTCTGACAGCCACTCCTTACCAAGGCACCCAGACAACGCATTACGAGGATCTACCCCACAATTAATGGCACCCCAGGGCTGAAATATGTTGACTAGGAGCCTGGGGCTACTTCAGCTGCTCCCCAAGCTAGTCTCTCTCCTACTTCTCACGCCAACACAGCTTTTCAAGTCCGAACGCGGAAATTGACAGAGGAATTGATACCAGTGAGCTCCCCACTGTCTATAATCTTGTTTAGAAGTATAGACCAACTACCGCCGAGTATCATCCAGCTTAGTACGTTAGAGTTCTACGGAGTTACCGAGTAGCACTGGTCAAATGTACAGAGTAAGCACTGCTAGGGGGCCTGATCGATGTTCTGGCCTGTACCAAACCGGATCTGACTAGCGACTTGGAGACTTAACGGCTATGGTACTCGAACCAGAATATGGGGCGTTTGGAGAATTAAGAGATTGGCTCTGCCGGCACGAATGGAACGAGTAGCTCTCACGGTAGTACACAACCCCGCACACCTGATGGTCTTAGCCTTGCATCTGAGACCCTTGGAAAGCGCGCTCTCGATAGATTGCGGCATCAGCAATGCCCTTGGCGAACTCATATATCTTGTGTGAGTTCCTACTTCGATTGCTCTTATATCGACAATCCAGAATATTGACCCAAAATGTCTCTCGAGGAACTGACAAACAAAGCGTATGGTATGTGGAAATTTTCATTACTGCAATAAATCGAGGCCGGAAGTCCGATCCTGACACTGTGCCGTTGACCATCTGACATCTTTAGACTACATCGTCTGTGGAGGAGGTACAGCTGGTCTGGTCATCGCGGCTCGTCTTACAGAAGATCCGAACGTTACTGTAGCTATCCTGGAAGCTGGCGGCAATGGACTGAACGACCTGTTGATCGATGCACCAAACATGTTCACCCAGCTCTGGGGCAAGCCCCAATACGATTGGGACTATAAAACTGTTCCACAGGTACGCTTCTAACATGGTGCAATTGGTCTTGCCTAACAGTCTTGCTAGGAAGGTACTGCTGGCCGTGTTCATGGTTGGGTTCGTGGAAAGGTTCTTGGTGGCAGCAGCGCTGTCAACTACAATATGTTCAGGTAAGCGCTGCCTCTCAGGTATAACCGGAAATACTGCACATATTAACTTTTATGCAGTATGGCTTCCAAACAGGACCTGGACAACTGGGGAGAGCTTGGAAACAAAGGCTGGTCCTTTGACGATATGATACCTTACTATCGGAAATTCGAGAGATATCATCCCGCATCAGAGACTTTAGGGAAGGCTGTCGACGACAAATACCTTGACAAGTCACTTCGTGGCACTTCTGGTCCAGTTCATGTCAGTTTCGCGAAGACTGATGTCACTTGGGGTCAGGATGTGTGGCCTAAGACTATAGCCAATGCTGGATATTCACCCGCAAAGGATCCTCGTACTGGCTCAGCTATTGGCGGTTTTAACCAACTTAGCACCGTTGATCCTGAGCATAACAGGCGAAGTTACGCTGCGCGAGAATACTACGAGCCCAATGCCGATAGGCCAAACATGACTCTTGTAACTCATGCCCTCGTCTCTAAAGTCGAGCTTAAGCAGACCGCTGGACAAGTCAAGGCCACTGGCGTCGAATTCACCGTCGATGGCACTACACACACGATGAAGGCGCACAAAGAAGTCATCGTCTGCGGTGGAACCATTAACTCGCCACAGATTCTTGAGCTGTCCGGCATCGGTTCGCCTGCTGTACTTGACAAGGCTGGCGTCGAAACCATAGTCGACCTTCCGGGCGTAGGAGAGAACTTGAATGACCACACAGCGACTGGTTTTGTACTAGTAAGTGTACACATCATCACAGCCATATTTCAAAATACTAAATTCCACCAGGGTGTCAAAGACGAATACCCAACCGCCGAAGCTTTCAAGGACCCAGCCATCATGCAACAAGCCCTAGAAGCGTACATTACCCACAAAGCCGGCCCTTTTGCAGGACCGCCTGGCACGACAGGTTTTGCTTCCCTTTCAAAGATTGAGCCCGACTTTCCAAACGCAGAGTCGCACATTCAATCACTCCTTCAAGACTTCGCAAGTAAGCATCCGGACGCCGACCCTGCAGGTCGCAATGCCATGCTTGCGCGCCAACTCCTCGATCCCAAGGAGGCAGTCTGCCAACTCGTTATGCTACCCACTGGTTTCCAGCCACATCGTCCGGATGACGCCAGCAAGCTATTTCCTCTCGAAGAAGAAGGCATGTGGTGTTCAATTGGCGCATGCAGCACGCGTTCCCTATCCCGTGGTACCGTTCACATCAACAACTCCGACCCAACCACACATCCCACAATCGACCCAGCGTATTTCTCGCATCCTCTCGATCTTGACATGATGGCTCGCGCCATTCTTCACTGCACCTCCTTCACATCTGTAGAGCCCCTTGCCTCGGTCTTCCGCCGAGATTCTAACGGCGACATCATATTATCCAAAAACTTCAGTTCGCTCCCCAAGACGTTGGAAGAAGCCAAGGATCTTGTGCAGAACAATACTGTAACAGAGTATCATCCTATTGGTACTTGTGCCATGTTGCCGAAGGAGAAGGGTGGTGTTGTGGACGAGGAGCTCAGAGTTCATGGCGTGGATGGGCTGAGGGTGGTGGATGCTAGTATCTTTCCGACCCACGTACAGGGCAATATCGTTAGTCTGGTGTATGCCGTTGCGGAGAAAGCGGCAGATCTGATCAAGGGTGTGAGGATTGGGGGCGAAGATGGCATGGACGTTGTGGAGAGAGTGGACAGTCCCTCTGTGGCGTAATTAGGAAATCGTGCCGCATTTGCTCGTGTAGTTTTCATGCTCCTTCTACCTCCACGGTAGGTGTACAAGAAAGGACAGCAGCCTTGTTATCAGTTGCGCGCTTAAATCAATTCCAGGCCGCCTAATGCCAGCATTTGGCGTGCGTCGGTACGCACTACCTCAAGAAACACAGCTCGAAAGAGAAATGAATACCAATTGTCCGTACTCACCAAGCTCACCCCCTTCTCCACCAGTCAGGTAGATTGTCGAGAACACGGCAACCAAAACATGGTTTTCGCGTCGCGATCGCCGCAATGACGCAGTCCAATCTTACAACCCCCTTGCGCGTGCGTACGCCCAAGCGTTCCTTTGAACGAACTTGCCCAATCTAATCCGGCAGGAGCACTGCAACGTGAAACCTGCTTTGTCCTTTCTTGTTGTAGGAGATGAAAAATAAGATAAGCTATCGCCATATAGCCGAACCAGTTTCTTCTATCTCTATCGTATTTTAGAAGGATTGACGTTCATGTTGTTCACCTTGACGAGATACCTGCACAGCATTTTCTGATTGGGCGACCATACTCACTTGCGTGCAATCCCCGTACCTGAACGAAAGAACACAATATCTTAGTTCCGATCATGTCGACACGCAGATCCGGTCGCGCGACTAAAGAGGTGAAGTACACCTCTGCGTCAGAAGGCTCAGACTTCGAGGACAAGAAAAAAAGGGCCAAGAAGCAAACGAAAACGGCGCACTCGAAGGAAGGCGTGACCACCACCAAGAAGACACCAAAGGCGGCCAGGGTGCCGAAGAAGGCACCGCCGAAAGACGTTACCAAGAAGCGCGCCGCAGAGTCCGACAATGAGAACGACGACGCGATCGCCAACCAAAATGATGCCATGACGACTTCCACAGCCCCAAAGCCCAAACGCCAAAAGAAAGACCCTACGACACTCGCAGCAGAAGCCCAAGAGAAAAAAGCAAAAGCCGACAAAGCTGCCCACAAGAAAGCTTGGCAAGACTGGCTCTCTTCCCACGACAACGAGCGCGAGATGCTAGAAGAAGAGCCGGATAAGCATGAGAGCATCACTCAAACTGATGCGCTCAAGAAGTATGGAGTGAAGAAAGATGAATTGAATTCACTGCTACGATTCGAGAAGAAGAACCCGTTGTACCCAGGTATGATGAAGTTGTTCCTAGAGGAGGATGTAAGAGAGCTGGCGTTTAGGAAGATAGGTGTACTGGAGGGCGCCCAAGGAGACGATGAGGAAATTGTTGAGAAAGGGAAGCAGTTGTGGACTGAGGAGCATAAGGACGATGTCGATGTAGAGGAAGAGAAGTCTGTGAGAACTGAAACTAAAGACAAGGACACGGCAAGAGATGAGAACGCAGATGAGCCAGCCAAGACTGAGAAACCAAAGAAAGAGGACAAGCCAGCCAAAACCAAGAAACAGGAAAAGGAGAAGACACCGAAGCAGAAATGGACAGCCTACGTATCCGAAAACTCTATTGATGAGGACGAGAGACTCCCCAAAGAGCCATTCGATCTCATCAACCAAACTGATTGTAAGAACAGGTACAACTTGACACCAAGGGACCTAGCTTGCCTCCCTTACTTTCCCAAGAAGAACCCAGCCTACGGAAATACCATGAAGATATTCAAGGAGAGCGTAGTGAAGTCGTTGGCCTATAGAAAGACTGCGGTGCTGGCCGGGCTAGAGGACGATGGTAAGGATGATGAGGGGCTTCTGGAGAAAGGACAGAAACTTTTTGAAGAGCAGTCTGATCCAGACAAAGATGAATGAGTAGATGGTACCTGATCTTAGATCACGAGTGTCAATTTTTGTTAAGATTAGGACTGGTGAAATCTCTCTTTATTCCACTATTACGTGTTCTCGCTTTTTAAGTCGTATACTCGCTTTTCATGCTCCAACTTAGGTAACACCTAGTGTAGAAGCAGATCACCATTTGATAGCCTTCTTGAACACTGGCAGCTCCTCAAAGTTGTCCACACTCCATTTCAATTTCCCGTCCCCTGTAACCCATGCACCTTGGTCGGTAGCCTTCAACCCAGTTTTCTCGTTCTCACTGATCTCGTGCTTACTAGCACCGATACTGTCCTTGGCCAACCAGACTATGGGCGTCTTGCTGGTGAAGGCTGGGTTGAGATATGCCTTCTTCAGATCCTCTTCGCTGTATTGTGGTTCTTCGTCTTCGTTAAAATCGCCATCGCGAAGCCAAGCCTTCAAGGCAGTATGGCTACCGAAGACGTGTGGCTGCAGAAAGCGGGCCAGTGGTGAGACAACGTTGGATGGTACGCGTGTCCGTTCGCTTATACGATTGATCCTTGACTCTGCGTGCTCCAAAGCATCCGACTCGCCTTCCTCTGCGGAAGATAGCAGTGGTGCTTGCTCATCGTCTTCAGATTCGAGTGCAAGATCTGCAGGTAAAAACTGCTCGAGGGGAGCAAGGTAGCGGTTCGTGGTATAGTTGAACATGATCGTAGCAAGGAGTAGGACGACAAGCATGATTAAGGGACCAGTCGCGTCGCGTAAGCTGAAGAGACCGATAAGACAGATCTCAGCGAGGTAGATTCCAACAAGGATCTGTTGTAGAGAGAGCGTATAGGCATGTCCTTTGGTGTCAATCTTGGGCTGTGCGGTATATAATAGCTGGTGTCGATAACTCCAGTAGAATATCACTAGGCCAATGGCGGCGAAGCCAAGAACGAGAGGTGCAATACAGGCGTAAACGATTGCTGCGAGAGATCAGTAATATGCTACTCGATGTTTCCAGGTTAATTTACCAATTATGACAAAGTTGCCATACTTCGGGAAAAGCTTGCCCCAAGCCATGCCCCTCATTGTGATGTAGCTATTGTACTTCTGGCGAGGCGTCTTGTCAAAGAACTTGTCAAAGAACCAGAACGAGAGAACGTCGGTGTAGTTCAGTATGTTGCTCGGGGCATTAGTCAAAGCTTGGACGACAAAGTACGCGAGGTATGTGTTTGATGCCCTTGGCAGACGCTCTGCAAGAAGTTGAGGTACCGAGCTTGGGTCTTGAACAATTTGTGATGCTACTGCCGCAGCACCCGAAGCGAGTGTTGTCACAAGGAAGACTTGGAGTACCTGGAAAACGAAGTACCACTTCAGCACCTTAATCTCAATGACAGTCTTGGTCGGCTCTCCAAAGGTAGTAAAGATGTCTGTGCTGTGTAAGCTATAGAACAGCAATATCGGCAAGTGGAAAACACTTACATCTGAAGATGTTCGGTACATATCTGGCTAACGCGCTTAGCACCAGTGGAGGGAGTAGACCACTCAGAAGGCTCATAATCCCTGATGGAATCTTGTTGAGAAACGCGAGCCATTTAAAATTCTCAGCAAGATATTGAACGTTAGAAAGAGCACCAACTATGCCGACTGGAATGGACCAAAACGCAATCGTAGCGATTACGAGAGTCAGGGCGACGCCACTCTGTGATATGCGACGAGCAGGTGCTAGATTTAAGTTGGCCCAGACAACTTCGTTGGGCGTAGTCCCGACGAAGCGAGGCGTAAGAGAAAGGACGTCAGCCGATGCGATCTGCTGGTACGCTCGCTGAGCCGCAGGTTGCGTGCGGAACTCTACAAAGACTGCTGCAGCTCCACCAAGACTCTCGGCTGTCTCATTCGACTCGCGGGCCTTCTCGATATCGTCCTCTTTTTCTCTGATCTGATCCCGATAATAGCTGATGCTGTCAACTTCCTTGCCAACAACTGGTGTCTTGGATTTGTGAGTAGGCCGCAAAGATTTCTTCATCTGCTTCGGCAGTTGCTCGTACTTGATGTTTCGATTGTGGCTCTTTCCGACTTCTTTGTTAACATTCAGGATCAGAGACATCTCAGCGCTTTCCAACTCTTCGACCTTGGAGTTCCTCTCCGAGACGAGAGATACCAGTTTCTCACCCTTAGTGATAGGCCAAATTCTGACTGCATCCTCTCCGAAAAAACGCTGCATGTTGCCCTCGTCGAGAGCTGCAGTAGGCGCCGAGAGGTACAGTACGGTACGTGAAGACAACCTCTTTGCGTTCGGTTTTGACAGGTTCCATGCTTGCCGTAGTCCAATGAGCCAGAGTCGTTCCCGCGCAACCGTGAACATGACAAAACTGAAGAACACCCAGGCCACAACAGCATGCGCATAGAGATGGTCCTTGTTCTTCACATTGCCAATGCCAAAGCGATTAAGCTCTTTCGAGCTGCCGCCACCAGTCCAATTGGCAGGCAGAAGAACAGGCCAGGTAATGAGAGCGCCGATTATGCAGATGAATATCAAAGTCCTCATGAAACGAAGAAACAGGTAAGAATCAAGCGACTGATGGTAAAGCACAAACTTATCCGGAACGGTTCTCATAGTGTGAATCCAGTCGAAGTAACCTGGCGATTTTGGACATGGCGTGCGATCCTTTTCTGGCACGGTGCCAATGTACGTCCGTGGTGAATAGATTTTGGGAAAGCGATGCCTAATGAGCACGAATGCGACCATGTAAAGAGTTGCAATGATGGCCGTAGGGATGAAAGCTGCAGCGAGTGCTGCAAGTGAAGATGGCCCGCTAGACTTATGACAGGGTATGTTAGTACACGTGCTTTGAGTAAAGCCTGGTTGTAGATGCAGGTACGTACTGACTGGACATGGCTGGTGCCACTGTCTTTGGCGACGAACACCGTCTGGAAATCCATCTCTGATATCTGTGGTCGAACAAGAGATAACTAGTAATGTCTCATGTCGATACAGGGCAGAGGGTCGGAGATTGGCAAAACGGAAGACGATGTGACGCGGAAGCTTTGCACGCTTCTGCCTGTGTTTGATTAGTGTTGTGGAGAGGGAAGGGTGAAGCTTGTCAAGCAAAGACGCCTATGACGTCGACGCGTTCAGGCGCCCAGCCCCAGCCATGTGGCGCGGATCGGTCTAGACAAGTGCGACTCACCTTGAAACAGCAACCTCGAAAACCAACAACACCAAGAACATACGTGTCTTTTCAGACACTGAAAGTATTTGAAGGATTTAGGCAGTCAGCGCGAGCGGTGTACATATCTTGAACTCAATTAAAGTTATTACAAATCTATGTGCGCCATGTAAAGCAAGATGAATCCTTCCAATATTCATACAACATTCTAAAACGCGTGGTATCACGGTATCCAAACCGGTCGAGCTGCCCATGACCCAAAACTCCGTAGGCGAGAGATGTTCAGGAACACCTAACATCCTCATATGCAAGGAAACAAATGAAATACTGCTGGGCACACCTAGAGCCACAGCAGCCACCGGATCACTCCCATGGCCACACCAAACACTCTCTTGACGGACCCGACGAGCACAACAATAAGCCATAGACACCACATGAGTGCAACAAGAGCCCACTCGACCAGCATCCATCCAAATCCCCGAACCCAGCGCATTCTACGTTTGCGCGTGCGAATCATGCGGTCTATCTCGTCTGTGATTTGCTTAACTTGTAATGGACCTTGTCCAGATACCTCACTTGTGATGCGCACAGCTTTGTCTCCGCTTTCTAGAATACGCGGCATAAGGTCTGAGTCAACCGTAGATTGCAAAGCCGAAATCTGGTTTGTGAGTTGCTGGATGGCTTTGTCACGGAAGCTCTCAAGCGAAGTCTGTAAAGCCTTGGTCGACGACTCTAGGTCCTTGACTAGTATGCGCGCGGCAAGAACATGTTCTTCCTTGCGCGGCACAGGGTAGATTTTCATTTTTGATGTAGCGGCAGCGCGCGAAAGAAAGTCGGGAGGCGGTTCTCTTGTAGAATTCGCTCGTCGTGTAATCTCTCTCGCTTTGACACCTGAGCAGAGAAAGAGTGCGCGGACGCGAGCGATGTCTGCCTGAGTGACTGTGTTCGCATCGCTCTTGTTCCGATCAACGGCATTATCGTCACCGTCAGCGATGCTCCAATGTCTACCGTTAAGGCCAGGTCGAGAGCTACTGCGCTGCCTGTTTGCGTCTCTTAGTCCAGTAGGTGGCAGACCCGCCATGTCACCACCAGGCCGAGCGAGCACTTGATTAATTCGCTCCTGGCTGTGGCTGCGCGTAAGAGTGAGAGACCCCGTGGAAGAATTTCCAGATATCGTGCCCAGATCCATGCGTGGTGGCAATAGCCGATCGACCCGAGGCGAGCGACTGTTCTTTTGCTCTCGTGCCTGGCGTGAGATGTGATGCTCATAATCCGAGTTTTCGTCGGCAATCGTGTGGACCGGCCGGAACGAGGGCAGTCCCAGATGGCTACGTTCTTTGTTTGTGATGCTACCGTCTGTACCTGCCGTGACGGTTCGACTGATCGGGGGCCGTTTGGTATGTTTGGTTTTGACCGGACCGTCGTCATCAAAGTCGACAGAGTTACGGTCAGACATGGTGTCCGCGTCAGAGTCATCGGCTCGGTCTCTTCTGAAGATGATGTCACCGACTTTTGTACCCTCGTTCTTCACGCCCTTGAAGAATCGAGTGACAGCAGAATGCGGCTCTTGGGTATCTCGGCGGCGGAGCTTGTCTGGACTAGGCAAGCTACTGACACTATCGTTCTTGCGATGACCGAGTAGATTCATGACAGCACCGGGAGCTGCTAAAATGGCTGTGCCGATATGTTTGTCGTCTGGCGTTTCCTCACTGGTCTGCCGCGATCTTCCTTTCCTGTCTGTTCCAGCAGAGTCCGGACGCAATTCGTGCTTGTGGTCTTCACTATGCTCATGCGAATGAAAGATAGTGTTGAACTTGCCTCGTTTTGCTTTCCTTGTCTGTGACTCGGATCGGCTTGGGGGCGGTGATAAGTCGCTGCCAATATGCGGGAACCGTTTGGCATGTGGAGTGTTTGGTGCCGTGCTGTCCTGATCATCAAAAGATGATCGAGGCTCCGGATCATCGATGGATAGATTAGGGTTCTTCCGAGGCTTTGGCGGCATCTTGAAGTTGCCACGATCCTTGATAAATGCAAAGCCATTTGTAGGTCGGGGAACTTCCAGCGAGTCTCGGGGAGGCTTGCTTTCGGAGGTAACGTCTCCGTTGCGACCCCACTTGTTTGGTGTATCTGGCGTGAAGTCAGGGGGTGGCCTGGCTTCGCTCAGCGACTGTCTAGCTTGTTGCTCTAGAAGCAAGGCCAGCGGACCGATGTTGTGATCTGGATCAGTGACAATACGAGCTTTCCGTCTCCTGGTATCGGATTCCGACTCTGAACTGTCGCTATCATCATGGCTGCGCAGTCGCGAGCCCCGCCTCGAATGTTTGCCTCCTCTCGGACTGTCAGTGCGCAGCGCTGGAAGTAGCCTTCGCTTGCGCCCACGCTCGCTGCCCTTGTCGCTTTCATCGCCTGTCGTATGATCAACTGCGATGCTGGGGAAGCCATCGACCCAGCTCTTTCTTCGGTCCCCAGAGTATTCTTTGCTTGCGCGTGGTGAGAGAAAGTCTTTCTGCTGCACCTCCTTGGGTGGGTAGACCCTTCGGCCATAGCGGTTTTCTACCAGCATTTTGTTGTCGTCTTGCTCCAACCAGTGTGCATCCGCAAGCAACTCTTGTGGGCTGAAGATCCAGCCTTTGTGAGGTCTTGCAGGCTTCTGGGGCGCTGGTCCCACTTCGTGATCGTGATGGATTTTGGGAAGCTGTACCGCATCGTCTCGACGATAGCCGGCTCGTTTGGCCTGTTGCTCCACACGATCCACCCATTCGCGTACCTGCTCGACATCCTCGAATTCTTCTGACGAGTGATGGAGCGTCACGCGCTCCCGAGCCCTGCTCCGGCGGTTTCGAATGTATTGCAGAGGGTTGTACGGCCGGCCGAGCTCATGCTGTTTGCCAGCATGAGACGGCACACGAGTGAGCTGCGCTTGGGGACTGCCTGGACTGTTGGTCGACGTGAAGACAAAATTGCCTGGGGCGTTCGCGTCGGGCTTCAGGGGCGGGAGGAATTCCAGTAGTCGGAGGTACTCAATGCGGAGCTCGATGTATGCGCGGGCCTTTTCTACTCGTGCAAGCGTGGCAGCTGAGGGATTGATGTTTTGGGACACGGGAAAGGCAATGGATCCGCTTCTCTGCATCGAGGTAGACATGTGGCGGGTAGGAGAGCTCTTGCCCATTGGGGATATATTGCGTGACGTCCGCCGTTGCTCGTTGAGATAGTGCTTCAGACTGCCGCCAGCGCCATAGTTGGAGAAGCTGCCTTCGCGTTGCGAACCAGAGGCGACGCGTGGCTGGGACGACAGAAGCTGGCCGGTGTTGGTATGTCTCCTCCGGCTCTCGCTCAGGTTCAGGGCCATGTGTACCAGCTGGTTCGGATCAATGGCCTGCCGCGGCGGCGCAGTGTTGGGCGAAGGATCGCGGTCATGGGCCGTGGACGGCATATCGTATGCACTCCTCCTCGTCTTGCCAAGGCGCATGCGCTCGTCGTGTCGGTCCTGTGAATCGGCAAAGTCGATGCGGGATGCTGCGCCGGGGGCAGCAGGACTGGGGCCGTCTCGCTGCACCTCTCGCGACAGCGGCGAGCTTCCTGCCTCCTTCTCGTGGGCGCCATAGTGTCGCGAGCTGCGCTTGCCTCCTTTGTCCTCCCCGCGAGCCTCGTGGTTGGCGTGGCGCTGCCGTGGCCCGCTGGAGAAGTTTGAATCGAGGAGAAAGCCGCCAGATCTCCTCACGCGCTGCTTCCGGCGCGCAAAGTCTTCTTCGTGCACCGAGTCCCTAGCCAGCAGGTTCCCCGATGCTGCGCTTCCTCCCAGGCCGTTGGTTGCACCTGTGCCGGGCCGCGAATCTTGGCTTCGCCGCGGGGACGAGCTCCCCTCGCCATTGTCTGTGTATGCGCCCGGATTGCTGGCAATGTACGTGTGGGAGGAGGTTGTCCAGCGGTCCGAATCTCCCGAGGGCCGGCCATGGCTGGACGGTGCTGACATTTCTTGAGATAGCGCCTATGTCACCTCGAACGGCCAGGGGGTCGCATGGCGATGACGACGGCTGCGCAGAGCAGAGGTGCGGCTGTGACTGTGGTATCGCAGCCAGGCGACGTCGCGACGAGATGCTCACGTGAATGTCCTAGGTCGCTCTCCAGCGAGGGTATGAAATCATATGTGGGGTGAGCAGGAGCGGCTCGTTGCTGTCCAGAGATTTGGCCTCGGGTGGAGAGCATGATCGCCTGCACCCCTGTTTGTCACCCAAACGTCAACAGTGGGTCCGTGTCCAACGGCTTCTTAGCTTTCTCTCTCACCTATCCAACTCACCAGGGCGAACATCGACTTTGTTGCGAGACGTACGGAATCACGTCTTGACTGTCCACTCGAGCATCTCTCACTAAGCACAAAGTATCAGTCTTGCTACAGGGGATGACCTAGGTAAGCCAACACGCGGACGCCAAATCCTTGCTCCCCAACATCACATTCTCTGCTGTGAAAGGCATGTGGTCATGCATGGCCTTTTCAGACGAGTTAGTCGGCTCCAGCACGCCGAAAAACTTCAGGCGTCCAACAGTACCGGCAACTTGGTAGCGGCTTGTCTTTCCCTGT